CCTTACATATCATTTACAACAGTTGTGTGTCGGAAAGCCTGCTTTTTTGCACCGATATTGGCTTGACTGTCAACAAATTTCGACATCGTTTTTTGAGAGGTAGATCGAGCGGAAACTGGAGCCGAGCTTGATTTCGGAGATTGATCGAAATCACCTTGGGTTTGCCTGTACTTAGAGCAGCAAGATTTGAAATCTCTTCATATTTTGCTGGTGGTGCAGGACTATCTGCTCTCGAAAACTGAATCGTCGGATGTTTGCCTCTAAGATGCCTTTTTAGGTTTCCGGTCGAACCACCGGCTGTTGCTATCAAAGCAGAACAGTGCCGGCATTTACCTTTGCCCTCCTCCTTCGTGAAATGATACCACATTTCACTCGAAGCTTTTCCTTGAGCAGACATTATGCAATTAGTGCCTAGAATACATAATTGTTTGTAAAGATTTAATTTGATGACCAATGATTCAAATTAGTTACTCACAGATTACGAAAATAGACTTAATTTTGTCTTCCAGCTGGAGGATTTTGTTTTGCTTAAAGCCCACACTCACAACAACAAAATTTTGACAGCAGTAATCAGCAAAACAGCAAATGAACTTCTGCAACCCCAGCGGGCGTAATAATAAACGTTTGGATTTCGTTGTAACACCGGCATCATCAGATTTCAAATAATATGAAGAATGCTATATTTGCCTCCACATCTAAAATCCAAATTATTTGAAATCCATTCAACGAAAACATACACCAGTATTCGATTTATATTCATTTTTTATCAAAATTGTAAAAAGTGTTTGTTAAAAAATATTCTTCGTCTCAAACGTATCATCAAAAACCATTGGGTACAACAGCGGGTTTCCGCTGGGCTACCTGACGAGAGTTGTCAAATGTGGGAAGAAGAGTAGTGAACTCTACTGAACCGCTGAGTCGGTTCTCATAAAAAATGAACCGTGGATCATTCATTCTCCGCGCTGATCCGGATCTTTTGAACGGATCTGGATCTGATCGCCCATCTCTGCTGTAGACCATGAATTAGATTTGTAGAATACGTTAAAACCTCTATAAAACTTGCAATGTTACATGGGAAGCTAGGTGAAGGTGAAATTCAAGTTGCAAGTTGTTCAGGAGGTTAAGACCTTTTGAATTGTTGACAGACTAGTTCGTAGTTCTCTCAACAGGTGGCACTAGTGTTCTTTCAAATTTCGGGTAAATGCTGGGTGGACATCTCGAGATCTTTGCTAAATACAAAGTTTCTGTTTTTCTGCATTGTTGTTCAGGAGTTTAATACCTTTTAAATTTTGGATAGTTCAGCACGGAATTATCTCACTAAGTGGCAGTAGTATTCTTATTAGCTTCGTGTAAATGCTGGGTGGACATGTTGAGATCCTGCCAGATACAAAGTTGCTGTTTACTGCAATGTTGATCAGGAAGGGGGGTCTCCCTTAGGTCAGTCGGCAGATCTAGAGATCTTCAGACATGCTCAGAGATCTTACTGGCAATCCCAATAACTTCAGGAAGCTCCAGACTTTTGGGGGAGTTTACATATCTGTAAAGGTTAGATTCGAAAAATTCTGGACAGCTCCACAAATTCCAGGAAAATTTCAAGAAAGAGTTCTGAGAATTTCAGAAAAGTCAGCATACATATTTTGGGAACTTCACAGAAGTTCAGAAATGTTGTGGGGAAATCTTCAGGTAAAGAACATTATGAGAATTGTGCGAACTTTCGGGTAACTTCGAGAACATCAGAGAAGATCACTGAACCTCAGAATTTCCGAAAATTTCAGCAAAGTTCTGAGCTTTTCAGGATGGTCCAGAGAACTTCAGAGAGATTTTTAGGAAATTTCTTAAATTCAGGAATTCTTGAAAATTTGGGGAACATTATCATGGAGGAACGAAAACTTCCAGCAAGTCCAGAGAAGTTTAGGGAAGTTTAGATATTTTAAGGGATGTTCCACGACCTTCAAAGAAGTTTAAAAAACGTAGATACTATAGATTACATAGATAAGCGGATGCAAAGTAGAATGTAGCCAAACGAACTGTCAGTTAGTATAGCCAAACGATTATGACGTCATCATGGTGTGTTTTGCGGGGGAAGTATTGTAATATTATAAGCATAAAACGCTTTCCAAACTCCACATTCCTAATTATTTCGCGGAAAACAGAAGAAGGAAATATTACGCAAGCCACTCCTTGATTCATTGTTGCAAAGATTTGAACATTTTTCACGAATGCCATTTTTCATGGTTGCCAAAAACACTTTTTGTGCCTCCGCTTATCTCTGGAATCTATAGCATCTATAGTTTACACTCTTCTTTGTCTGAAATGTCAAATGAAGGGCATATCTCGCAGATCAATACAATTCCCTTGCAGCAGTAGAATAAATGAATACTTGCATGCAAGTTGCTGCTCAAGGCTTATAGTGTTGCATCACAAAAGTATTGTTGCGAGCACTGAAAGTAATAGTGTTCCGTTTTGTAAGATGTAATTATTAATAAGATAAAAGGTGATTGTTAAGATACAGTATACAAACCTCAAGACAAACTGAAAATACACACAGTTGAATTCAAATCTCCGAGTAGGCACGCTGCCTCTCGGAATGCAGTTAATCTGGACTTTTACTTCGTCCTCTTTCATCCCGATTATCGAGTATCCGTCGCCGTTACCCTGTTTGGAGTAGACTTATGGGTCCTGTTCTACCGCTAGACGAAAGCCAAAATGGCTGAACTCTGACACAAACTTGTCCCAAGTGAACAATTAAGCGAAGTTTAATGGAATTCGGAGAGGGAAAACCATGCCGTCCAATGTGAAAATGAATGGTGGCGTGACGCCAGCTTTACAGGTTCAAGCAGAACGATGCGCAACCACATGGTTCTCGATTATGGCAACTGGGCTGGGGAAAACGTTTATTTCAAGAAAACCGTGATAATATATCACTTTGTGTTGGTTAATTTTTTCAAAACGTTTTAAATAGAATATCTATTTCAATCGATTATCTATCGATTGGTGTATTTGAATTTTGATTTCATCTATAAATGACAAAGCTATAAGCGTTCAAATCCTAACACCTTTTTGTGTCAGTCGAAATTTTAGATTTTCGATTTACCCCCTGTGCCTTCCCGTCTACGTTCGGGACCTAACACCACTGCGACCAGTAATTTGATCTAGTGTAGTACATCCCGTGTCCTTAGTTTAGTGCATGTCGTATTACTCCATCACTTATGAGAAATGATGAAGTATTCGATTTTTTACAGTTATCATTCTTGCATTTATCGCAAGGGTCAGACTCTAATTGAAAGGTCCCGCTATTTATACCCTTCGGAGTGTTGAAACACCCTCCAAAGGCGCACCACTTCTACTTTGGATTCCTTAGCGACAAAATGAAAGAATGACACTGATGCATCAGAACCCTAGCCTTAACCACTTCAACCTAGTGAACAACGTAGAACATTTGGAATCACCTAGATGAAGACTAACTAACTCATTTTTCCTTGTTTCAAGATCATCCTCGGTGGACAAAGTCGAGTCTTGTCACTATCAACAAGGCATAACAGTGTTCCTTGAATTACTGAAAAACCCTGTTCCCCTAGTTTGAAGTAGCGAGGACTAGGAATCGGTGGTAGATCTTACATCCCGTAACACACCACGAAAAGGTGATCTCCCCACGTTATGGGGCAATTTCAACATTACTTCAACTCTTATGCCATGTTCAAACTAGGAAATTGTATCACGTTGTAAGCGCTGTTCGTGGCTTAAGAACAATTATGGTACATTGTTATTGTATCACGAAAACCACTTATTATCACACGTTACAACTCGCTAGTCTGAACACGGCATTAGCATAAGCCTTTCATGCGGGCTCAATATCTAGTATTCCTTTCAACCATCCCTTAATTGAATATTCCATCGAATTCTATCGCAACAATCGGGCAGCTAACAAGACAAAGCCCTTCGTTCAGCTAAGCCCCATTTCCGGACCGGTCAACCGGCAGAGTAAGCATTGAATAGGATTCCGGATCATTAGGAAATGCTTTGTGGCAGACGTTTTCTTGCACGAATTGGAGGAAGCACTTGTTCTTCTTGAGTCCAGTGACAACAACCGTGCATGGACATAACCTTGAATCTTTGCTACAATAAGCTGTCTCAGTGGGGAAATGGGACGAGAAAAGAATTGATTTTCCTGAACACGAAGACATGTTCGGAATAAATTGCTCAACTAAAACTCAACTACTACCCATCCAGAGACTCGTCTTGTCAACGGAAATCTAATTTATTCCTCCTGCTTTACTGCTGATCTAACCTTCTCATCCATTCATTCATATACGGAATGAGCGACCCATCGTCTTGTATGAAAGTTTGTTTTTTTTTCTTTTCGTCGGACGGGGCACGTACGGAACCGGGAGAAAATACGGTCGTTGGAATATGCTGCTCTCGGCAGAAGGCTTATGATGAAAAGTTTTTGCTTATCCTCTTAGATGTAAATGTGCCGACACTAATGCTTCCACTGGGAGGAGACCGAAGAAAGGAGCATCAGCGGCGAATGATGGCATGACATTCTTTGATTCAGCGAATGACGAAGAAGATATTCTGATATCCACCCCGAAAGGCTTGCTTCGTTCTGATCCGGCACAGAGCTCCGCATTTAAACAGAACTAATTTTATCAAATTTACTCAGCTTGTAATTTGTACATGCTCGGCAAACTAGAAGGTATATCCATCCACTCACTACAGCAGCAGCTATTATGATTCCGCACGTTTCTCCCCCCGGGGGATGGTTCGGTTACTTCATTAGTTGGAGCGGATTTCATGGGGATAAAATTAGGATTCGACATATGTTATGCTCTCCGGGATTGTTACTCGCATGGCTTTATGATACATAATTTGATGGGTAATCTCGACTCGACTGACGGCTTAAGTTGTTCACATTATTATCCCTCTGGCAGCCGGAGGGCACGTCAGTAAAGCAGCGTCTGATGTTGATTTGGTTTCTCTTGTTCTTTTTTTTCTTTCAGGTACATGCTCAGCAATCTTTGAAATATGGGCTTCAATGAGCCACATCGTGAATAAACCACAAACACTCCTAGCATAAACCAACAATCTCCGGTTAATCGAGAGCATCCGGACCAAGGAACAGGGGGGGAGGGAGAGAGAGAGGAATCAAATCCGTTCGCTAGCCCGGAACGGGTATCAGCCTGCTGAGAAGATGTCCCTCTTCCTCCATTGCTTGGCAGCGGACAGAAGAACCGAAACGACGGCATGATGTTACGGTGGCCCAAACTGGGGCTCACACAGCCCTACTACAAGTATCTATGGCGCTGCTGGTTGCTAGTTGGTCTAATCCTGCTTCAGCGCATAAGCTACGGTCGGATGGAGGAGATCCTTCGATTGCGGGGTGGCGGACGAGGATCCGCCGGAGGCAGCGGGGGACAACATCATCAGCAACAGCTGCAACAGTTGGAAGAACAAGAACTCTTTTCGTCGTCTTCCTCGAACGAGATTGAATGCCCGAGCTTTGCGGAGAACTCGGCCTGTCCGTGCTACAAGTTTGACGATGGTAGGTTGCCTATTTTTTTTTATCGTACTCTTCCGAAAACGCATCGCAGTATGTCACGCTCTCCCTTAAAAAGCAACGAAATCTCCGCACATGTTGGCATGCTGCGATTGCCTCACTTCATGTCTCAATTTCAAACAACCACTAAATCAAGCTTTCTCGTTCTCCGCCTTTTTTGCCTCACCCAGGATTGTTCCTCGAGTGCCCGAGCATTACTGCGGTAGCTCTGCGCTCGACGCTGCAGCTCATCTCGTCGCCAATCCAGTCGCTGTCCGTGTACGAGTTTGACCGTTCGGTCAAATCCCTTACCGCGGATCTGTTCGCCTCGGCACACACGTCGTCCCTCCATGGTGGCAGTGGCAAAGGCAGCACCAGCCCCGGCAACGATGTCAACATCCGGCATCTTCAATTTTCCCATTCCAACCTCCAGCAGCTGAAGGAGAATAGTTTGAATAATTTACGAGCGCACTTAGAGAGTTTAAGTATTGTAAATGGAAAATTGACACAAGTAAGTTGTTGTCCGAGGGAATTGGGAGACACGTGTGTCCGTTTCGGCGAAGGAACTTTAAATGGACTCGATTTATTGTGCTGTAAAAGCAGTCGGAAAAGTTTTGCTAATCCCAAACGACATGTGTTTTCCGTTTTCCGTTCTCGCACTCTATTATAAATGGATTTGCAATCAGGGAAAGTTTTACGGTGGTTTTGCAGCTCGATCTAGTTGGAATGTCACTTTTGTTCGTCGAGGTTTGAGGCAAACCTGTCCTGATTGCAAATTAGTTTTCGCATTTTAAATGTTCTTTTTTTTTCTCCGTCCACTAATGCAGGTGCCCCCGAAAGCGCTGGCCGGCATGAAGAAGCTGATGGTGCTGGACTTTGAGCAGAACGAAATCGCCACCATCGAGGAGTATGCCTTCCACGGGCTGCACCTGGTCAAGCTGAACATGAAGGGTAACCGGTTGGAGCGGATTCCGGAAAATGGCCTTTTCGGTCTGGAGGATTCCCTGGCGGAGTTGGACTTTTCCGAGAACCGCCTGAAGCAGTTCCCGACGTCGGCACTGAAGCGGCTGGAGAATCTCCGCTCGGTGCGCCTGTCGATGAACGAGATCAACTCGCTCGAGCAGGACGATAGCTATACGCGGTTCGGGTCGTTGGTGTTTCTCGACTTGAGTTTGAACAATTTCGTGGAACTGTACAGTGATGTGTTCGGGGCGTTTCCGTACGTGAAGACACTGTCGTTGTATAACAACTTCATCGAGCTGGTGCACCGGGATAGCTTCGTGTCGCTGAAGGAGCTGCAGTCGTTGGATCTGAGCCACAATCGGATAGTGTTTGTGGATGCGGAAGTGTTTGCCGCGAACCGGAAGGTGCACACCATCGATCTGAGCCATAATCATATACACTACGTGAGTGGAGTGTTCGCCAATCTGCCTCTGTTGAGGGAGATTTTTCTGAGTGAGAATAATATCCTGGAACTGACGGATGATTGTTTTAGCAATTCGAGTAGCATTAAGGTAAGTGACTTTGTTGACGGTGGAACAGCTGGATGAGGTTGTTTGCGACTGAGGGAATGAGAAACAGTTTCAAAAAGTTTAGCTGAACGGTTGTTAATCGTTTGCAATGTCGTGGATTGCTTCGTTTTCCTTAGCAAACGATCTGCGGAGGTAAGATTTACTCATTTGACTGAACCTCCACAGAGAGAACGATGGGGGCCTTCCAGGAGCTTTATCCGTCGCTTTCGTGGCCACGCACTGATTTTTTCACTGCATTTGTGACGTTGGCAAAGTTGAAAGGATGTTGTACCCCGGTTAAGTGCATGTGTAAGAGATTTTCGATCTAAATTGTTTGCTCGGTTTAACACACATCGTAGCATAGCATTGGTCTGATATCTTAACGTCTTTACAATCATAACGAAATTGCTATCGTTCCTACAACGATCCTCGATCCGTTTTAAGCTGCAACATAGAGTCGTTCTTTTGAATTTATTACCTTAAAAAAAAACAGGATACTGACTATCGTGACCAGATTACATCTTGGAGAATGGGGAACCAACAAACAATTTGAATTGACTAGGAGCTGAATAAGCCATGTTTTTGCTTGAATAAGCTCATATTCAACTTTCAATGGTTCTTGGGGGAGAGAAGTGATTAATGGAGAATTCCATATGAAAAGGGCTTATATCATTAGATAATACTACTGACTTGGGGCCTCACTTAGCTCAGTCGGCAAAGGCATAGGTATAAAGTAAGACCATGCTGGAGGTGGCTGATTCCCAGTTCGGTCTAGGAATTTTACGGGTTGGAAAATTTCTCGACTTCCCTGGGGATAGAGTATGACTGTACTTGCCACACAATTATACTAATGCAGAAACGGTACAGGCATCGAAAGCTCTCAATTAATAACTGTGGAAGTGCATCTTGAACACTAAGTTGAGAGCACGCAATAAGCTTGATATGCGATAAGCAATAAACTCGAATTGAGAAGAAGAAGAAGAATAAGAAGACATGGCTACTTCCCCTCGTGCTGGAAGTCAGCTAAAGTCATCCCCGTCCGGAAGCCTGGGATATATCCGCCCTATCCTTCAAGCTACCGACCCATCAGCCTTCTCTCGGGGTTATCTAAGCTGTTCGAAAGGGCAGTCTACCACCGGCTCCTAGCATCTGCCGATGAAAACAACTTGTAAAGATCGCTCGACTGACTCGGGTGACAAACATTCTCAGACGGAACAAGTCTGTATCCAAAACATCTGCCATGGCATTTTTGGACGTTGAAAAAGCGTTCGCTAATGTCTGTTCGCGATGCCTGGTCTACAAATTGCAGCGATACGGTCTTCTAATGTTCCTAATGAAGATCATAAAAAAACTATCTCTCGGACAGGAAATTCCGAACACATAGACATAGCATAAAAACTGTAGGCTACAGTGCTGGTGGTGGTGGTGGTGGCTTCAGCAACCCTCCATCTTGGCAGAGGATTGGTATATTCACGGAGCACTTAGTTTGGAATAAAAATTAACACACACATAGCAAGAGTCTTTCTGACAGAAGGTCTGACAGTGCATCAAAGAAATGTCACATTAGCTAGCAGGGCTGCGCAAATACCCGTCACTGAAATTGTCTTTCAACACCCCTGCTCAATTTCTGAACCGCCTAACACCAATTTCTTCCAGGAGACGCTTGAAGGCCACAGATGGTAGCCTCTTAGTCATTACATCCACTAGCTGCTGTTCCGATGGAATATACTCAATGTTTATATCACCTTCTTGCACTAGTTTCCGGATGAAATTCAACTTTATATCAACGTGTTTCATTCGCCGACTGTACCTTGACTCTTCTGCCACTCTCATACATGACTGGTTGTCCTCATAATAATGCTTGCGTGTAAGCCGCCACTGTGCCTCCAAAAACTCGTACAATGTAGCCGATCATGGATCTTCTATCGTTGACATCGTTTCCCCAATCCGCATCTGAGTACGCCACCAGAGCTGGTTTATCCTCAACTCTTTGGGATTCCAGACCGACGTCGAGAGATCCTTTTACATAACGGAGAATCCGCTTCAGGCGACACCAATGTTCATTAGTAGGACAACTTTGTAACTGACTGAACACATTCACTACAACACACAAATCTGGTCGTGATACGCCAGACAACCCACAAGGTCTCTATAAGGGTTGTCCGTTCTTTCCGCTTCAGTTCCTTTCGTTAACTTCAGATGGCATTCTATCGGTGTAGCAACTGGCTTACAGTCCTCCATGCCGAAGCGTCGAAGAAGACTTTCCAAATATCTCTTCTGCGAAATCCTCATGAACCGCTTCTCGATATTCCTTTCAATGCTCATACCGAGAAAACAGCTAATATCGCCAAGATCTGACATTGCGAATTCCTTCTTTAAACAGCTCTTCACTGCCACAATCGCCTTCGAATCATGACCAACGATGAGAATTTCGTCCACGTACAGAATCAATCGCTTTTCACCCTCCGTTCGCACATACCAACAATGATCGTTCTCACTGCGCTTGAACTTGAGCTTCATCATGAACTGGTGGAACCTCTCGTTCCACGACCGGGATGCCTGCTTGAGTCCATACAATGCACGATTGAGACGACAAACTAGATTCGATTCTTGCTGCAGACCCTCAGGCTGAACCATGTAAATCTCTTCCTGGAGCATTCCGTTGAGAAACGCCGTTTTCACGTCTAGCTGATGAATTTGTAGCCGCACCTGATTCGCCACCGCCAGCACTGCCCTCACCGTATCCCGTCTTGCTACTGGAGCATACGTCTCAACATAGTCGTAGCCGTACCGCAGTGTAAAGCCACGAGTTACCAGACTAGCCTTATACCGGTCAGGAGCATCATTATCACCCTTCTTGATTTTGAAAACCCATTTACACGTAATAGGCTTTCTTCCTTCTGGAAACTTGCACAAAGTCCACGTATTGTTCTGCTCGTGTGACCTCATCTCTTCTCGACTAGCCTCTTTCCACATCTTCTAGTCTTCACGCTTCTTCATCTCTGCCCATGCAGAAAAGTTCATCTCGTAGTCTTTCTGCCAAATAGGAGCAACTCGCTTCCGAACACTTTCTTCAACCGCAGGCACCATCCGCTCATTGGCCCCTACTGAATCCTCACTGTCTGTACCGTCAGCACAGTCTTCAAACTCTTCGTTGGTCACCTCCAAGTCAAGCTGTTCCAAACCTTCTTCTTGGACCATTGGATTCGTCGACTATCACATCCCTAGCTGCAATCACTTTTCCTCGCGTTGGGTCCCACACCCTGTATCCGTTACAGTGATACCCAAGAAAAACTCCTTTCCACGCTTTCTTGTCCAACTTTTTCCGGTGTGCTTTTGGAATGTGACAAAACACAGGACTACCCCAGACTCTCAAGACCGAAACATCAGGCTTTCTACCCTCCCAAAGTTCAAAGGGTGTCTTACCGTTAACGATCGCACTTGCTGGGCTCCTGTTCACCAGGTAAGCTGCTGTCTCTACCGCCTCACACCAGAACCGCTTATCTGCACCCGAACTGAACAGTATAGAGCTGGCCTTTTCTTCCAGTGTACGGTTCATCCGCTCGGCCACGCCGTTCTGCTCCAGTTAGTAAACTGCATTTCGATACCTTTCTGTTTGCAAAACTTGTCAAATTAACCCCCTTGTCACATTTGAGACGCGATATGTGTTGGCCAAACTTCGCAGTTACCATCGCCTCTCATATAGTCTGAAACACTCAAAAACTTCGTCCTTGGACCGTAGTGTATAAACGATCGTAAACCGGCTCCAATCATCTATGAAACTGACATAATATCGGCTGCCATCGTGTCCCATCGGTGTCACAGGACCACAAACGTCACTGTGTATCACTTCCAACACTCGTTTAGATTGCTTCTCCGGACGTTCACCGAAAGGTTTTCTAGTTCGGTTCGAAGAGGTTCCTATCGTTAGCCATATGTTCTGATGCACCTGAATCAGCATACCACTGCAGCTTATCACAACCCACATCACTACCACCAGCAACAAACCAAACGCCCTTGTCCGTCACATTAGCACTCAGCTAGGTGGCATCCCTATCTTGTTTGCCTTGCCTTGAAAAGAGCTAACATCGCTGCGGGCCCGCGAATTGTGGGCCCCACTGACAGCTCATAATTTGTAAACAAATCTAGATAGAGCTGGAATTAGGGCGCAACAGCTTTTGTAAACAATGACTTCTCTCGACGATTTCTTCAAAATCAAGGCTCGCTAACGCAAATCAACATCATCATCGAGTAGAGGAAGACTTCCTCTACCCGATAGTTGTATTGCATTGCGTAGGCGTGCCATGAATTCCTAGAAATCTTTAAGAGAAGTCATTGTTTACAAAAGCTGTTACGCCCTAATTCCAGCTCTATCTAGAAATAGAAGATTCAATCCAGAATTTCAAAAAAGGCGTGACTGATATTATGGATATTCTTAATATTTTTGCTTACATTTTGTGAAAAATAAACTTAGGACTCATAAAATATTATTTTCTGATTTTCTACCACGAAGTCAACCATTTATGGCATAAAAGGGAAAATAATTTCATTTGATAAAAATAAGACAATTCAGTCACGCCATTTTTGCAGTTCACACTGGAATTGTGACGTTTCAGATGTTGGTTTTAATAACATGGCGGCATGCCGCCCAGCTGTTAGCACTGGATTTATAGTGTTTATTATCCTTCTTCGTTTTCTTCTCTGGACAGTCAACAGCTTTGTGTCCAACTTTGTGACAAACGAAACATTTCATTTTCTTCACAAATTCCTTCGGCTTCCCCGTGAATGCAGCTGGCTCACGTTTAGAGGTAACCAATCCCACACCGGATCCCTTGCATTTGATCTCCTCGTCGAGGTGCCGACATTTGACAAACTCGAGTGTCAAATTGTTCTCCGGCATCATCGTCTCGAGAGCGGTAACCACCGTCGCGTATGCCGGCCCCAGAGTTAGCAGTAAATGACAAAAAATGTCAATGTCCTCCATTACTGCACGCGTACCTTTA